CAGGTAGAGAAGAGACTGGACTGGCCATATGCTGACCACTGCTGAAGCTGAGTGATGGGTGAATGGGGAGTTATTTTACTATTCTCCCTATGAACATTACATTTAAAAACTTCCAAGTCTTCTGATAAAATCCTCATCTTTGGGGTTTTTTTTTTTTTTGGCCCCAACACGCAGCATATAGGGAAGCATGAAGTCTTAACCAGTGGACTGCCAGGGAAGTCCCCCGCAACTTTGCACTGAAGGGAAACAATGACTTATTCTACCCTTAAATTACATCAGGTTTGACTTATTACTTCTGGATATTAATTTCAAAGATTTTCAGGAGGCATTCCCTGGAGCAAAACAGGACAAAAATAAGTCAGAGTCACAACTTTTAAAGACAGGGAAGTAGAAAAAAAAGAGGGAAAACATAGTAATGTTCATAAAAGGAAAGAAGAAACATCGCATATTATACACCAAAATATTACTAGTCTAGTAACAAAGCAAGATAACTGTAGCAAAAAACTAACGTGGAATTTAATTAGTACTGATTAAGGAACAGGGAGAGTAAGTTAATTGTTTAGTTTACTGTGATTAAGAAAACCCTGATGTACCTGAACTATTTACAATTTTAACTTGAAATACATTAAAAAAAACTAGATTAGTGAGAAACTACTTTCAAATTTCAACTTATTTCAGAAAATCTAAGATTTATTGAGTAGTTAAATCACTTTTTACAATTAAAAAAACCCAGACTGTTGATTTAGTTCATAAAAGTGCAAAATAAACATTCAGACAACTGGCAAAGTGCTAAAAGAATGCATCAGTGATCTCTGAACCCAAGTTTGAATAGCTTCATGAAATATAATGTTTATATCATCCTAAACATGACCATAAATATTAGCTAAAAATACAAGTCAATAAGGGGTGTTTCAGTTCTTAATACAGAAGGGGTCTGAAGATTTCATCAGCAGAAGCATAATATTGATCCAAATTTTAAGTATTCTTTTCGAAGAGGCAGAAGAAAAAAACAGGAAAGATTTCGTTAAAAGCAAAATCTTGTATTATCATTTTTCCCCTAAAAGAGGACAGCTCAACCACTCGTTATATGAGCAAAGGAATACACCAAGATGACAATATTGCTTTCCTGATGTTAAAATTAGATTTCTTTCCTGTCAGCACAAAATAAATACTTACACAGGGACCACCCTTCTACACAGCAATTTGTAGGAGGGGTAGGAATACTGTGTTAGTAAAACACATTTACAACTCTGAGCTTCCAGGGAGAATGTTTTATATTTAGTTATTTCATGAGTTGCCGAGGGCTCAAACATAAACAAATGTTCTAACTTATCCTCACAGTACATCATTTCAACACTACAGATGTTGTTCAAACCAAACCAAAAGAACAAAAAGCAAAGCTAAATGCCCTTTTAGGAGGGAAGTTTCTTCTACAGCATGGGCTTCCTTAAAGTTCTTATCTCCCATCTCTGTTTCTGTGCATGTTTTTCTGCAAGTTTAAGGAGAAAAGCTATCACTGCCATCTAAAATGTCAATGTGCCTTGATCTATGTTGAATGGAAATGTGGAATTTTAATAACTCAGTATGTGTGATGGCAGACAAAGCCCCAGCAATTCCTCACCTTCTCAGGGCTGTCAACCACTCTAAGAACCTCCTGAACACTAGGGACGCTTTTCCTAGAAAACTGTACATATGCAAATTTGAATATAATTCTGGAGATCCCCTTTAAGAGAAGCATTTAGGAGGCCCAAAGACCCCAGCTGACAATTCTTAACACGTGAAAGGTCAACAGCCAATCTATTTCTCAAGTGAAGAGAACAGGAATAAAAGAGGGCATTTAGTTCAAGTTTCTACCTGATCAGTTAGACTACCCTCCACACAAGGGCAAAAAAGACAAGAACCAGGTATCTACCAACCAACTACCACTCCAAACACAGCACAAACATCGGCCATTCAAAACAAACAAACAAAAACTTCACTTCAGGAAAATGATCAGCCTCAGAGCAGAGAACACACTCTAGCATCGAGTTCTCTGACCCTCAAGCGATACCCTCCAGTCTATGTATGCCAGCCCTGCCACAAACAGTCTGGCCAATCAGGCTTTTATGCTTCATTCTTAACTATAAAAGACTATTGTACATTTGAGGAAAGCCTCCTGCATGAAATAAATATACACTGAAAGAAAAAAATTATCTTGGAAGAAAGAGAAACCTAAGTAACAGAAAGGGGTGGGGGGGGGGAGGGTAGAGACATAGCTCCATCTCCATTAATAAAACTTCTAGTAATTCTTAGAGATATCTGAGAAAACAGCATATTCGATACAAGTAAAAGTGTTAATATGAAAAGTTAGCAAGCAGAAAATAAGTTATTGCTAAAATTTTAAAATTCAATAGAAAGGGTCTTAAGAAAATCCTCAATACTCAAGGCCTCTATCATTTTAACCTTACACACTGCCACTACACACTACCAAGGGCTATCTCCACTATTCCAGAAAAGGAACAGATGATTCTTGGCTCTGAAGGAACAGGAATTAGAATGCTCACATTACTGAAACCGTGGTGTTTTTTTTTTTTTTAAAAGAGTCCTACCCATGGAAGCAACCTAGATGCCCATCAGCAGACGAATGGATGAGGAAGCTGTGGTACATATACACCATGGAATATTACTCAGCCATTAAAAAGAATTCATTTGAATCCGTTCTAATGAGATGGATGAAACTGGAGCCCATTATACAGAGCGAAGTAAGCCAGAAAGATAAAGACCATTACAGTATACTAACACATATATATGGAATTTAGAAAGATGGTAACGATAACCCTATGTGCAAAACAGAAAAAGAGACTCCTATGTATAGAACAGACTTGTGGACTCTGGGAGAAGGCGAGGGTGGGATGTTTCAAGAGAACAGCATCGAAACACGTATATTATCTAGGGTGAAACAGTTCACCAGCCCAGGTTGGGTGCATGAGACAAGTGCTCAGGCCTGGTGCACTGGGAAGACTCAGAGGGATCGGGTGGAGAGGGAGGTGGGAGGGGGGACCGGGATGGGGAATACATGTAAAAAAAAAAAAAAAAAAAAAAAAAAATACACTATGGTTGTGGAAAAAAAAAAAAAAAGAGTCCTACGATCTTACAATGAGTTTACCAGAATCACCATTTAATAGGAGAAGCTGCACCTGATTTTCCAGTTTGTACACATTTTTTTAACCTACTTTTGGAAGCATTTTGTATTACAGATTTTTTAAATAGCAAAACAAAAACTTTTAAGAGTGTTTATCGACAGTAACCAAAAGCTTTCTTCTTTAAATACTGCCTTACCAAGCAAGGTCTTCAAATAAAATCCAATTTTTAATTAGCTGAATAATGGAAATCATAGTCTTGGAGAGTCAAAAATAATTTGAGATTTAAGTAGATTTCCACCTAAACATGAATATAGCAATTGTTATGAGACTATTTCTAATAGTGAATAATGAAGCTACATTGAAACAATGTGGGAAATGGCACGGATTCCCCTGTGACCACAGCACAAAGCTGGACTTCACGAGAAGACTATAAAATTTTCAGCCACCATTAAGCAGATGTGTCAAATCAAAACTTCCAGGTATAAAACTACATGATGTTAAACAATTATTGTTAATTTTTAAATTCCTGATAGCTGTGTTCAAGAGTTCTTATCTTTCAGAGATAGACATTAGAATTTGATAAAATAATGTCAGGGGTCTGCTTGACACTAACAGAGATGGGGACCGTTAACAGTGCTGGGGAACAGAGATGAGGCAAGGGAAGCCCTGGGTTAATGACTGCTGTAACTGCTGATGGTTACTATTGTTCATTATACTCTTCTCTCTTCTATTTAAAAACATCCAGAGTCAAAAAAAAAAAAAAAATTAACAACCAAACAACCAGGCTCTCTAGTTAAAAGTTTTGGTTTAAAATGCAAAGTGAGGGTACTTAGAGTATGAGATGGTGGTGGGAGTATGAGATAGTGGCAGCCACAGTCACAGAAAGGCCAGGCTTCCCAGAATGTTAACTATTAATGAGCACCAAAATGTCACAAATCAGCACAGAATACCTCTCATCTACATAACTCATTATCACTTCTAGTACATATGTACAAGCGCTCTCATATCTGGAGTACAGGCAAGAGCTGGCTGAGTCATACTTCATACAGAATTCAAATATATGTAGTTTCAATAGTGCACTGAATTTCTTAGCCAACAGCTAGAATGGAGGCTAATTAATACAGACCCAAGACTGATGGTCTAACAGGATGGGAAAAGGGAGAACAGCTGTATAAGACATGAAGTTCACCACTAATTAACCCAACTTTATGGGCAATAATAATCAGTATGCGTATGGAAAGGCCATAGCCTTCGTGTTCAGACACAGGCCACGTTCCACAGCCACTTATTAGCTCTATGAACTAAGCCAATCACTTAACCCCACTTTTCCCTTCAGAAAGGCTTGCCTTGAGAGAGATCACCATCAAGGATCTTGAAAGCAGATTCTCCCAATGCCTGCGACCTTGAGAAACCCTGACCCCAAATCACCCAGTTCAGCTGCTCCTAGGTTTCCAACCCTCAGGAACTGTGTGAATAACAAATGTTTACTGCATTAAGTTACTCTGGGGTAACTTGTTACACAGAACAGACAATTAGATTTTGGAGAACAGTCTGTCTATGATTTGACTATCTAAATTTTTTTTTTCTAAATATAGTAAGTGAGCCTCTTTGCTATGTAAACTAGATTGTACAACAGAACCCTTTAATTCACCTGAATAGATAGCTCATCACCTGTAACGGCCTGTTTATAAAGCTGGATATTATTTCCTGTACTGAACTCCTTGAGTCTGAGTTAGCTTCTGAAGTATGTGGGCAAAACCCCAGACTAGTGTTAACAGTTCTTACACTGTATTACATAGACACTCTCTGTGTATTTGCATTCTGTATCTGCTATACAATAAATTTTAATATTAGTAAAAAGAGCATTCTTAGTCCTACCTGAATGAGGCATTTGCTCACATCACTGGCACAGAGCGCTTTGTTACAACTCAGTGACATAGGGACCCATGTCAGGAACACCAGGATGGTGAGAGTAAGCATAACAACCGAGGGTGACTTCATGATTCTTCAAAGATAATCAGTAACTCCCAGGAAGCTAAACAAACAAAAAAACAAAAAACTTAAACTCAAAGGCAAGTGCTAAGGTAAAAACAAATACAAAAATGAAAAACAAATAAATAAACCAAGACTCATTGTCTGTGTTAGGATCACTGAGTGATCGTTTATAAATATTATTCTCAACAAGATTACTTATACACCAAAAAAAAAAAGTTACAATTTTATCTAGCAACATCTTGTTAGCCATCTTCAAAGGTATAGAATTCTGAAATTCCTCAGACTACCCAGAAATGGGGACTGTGAAAGTTAAAGCAAATAAGTAGTTTCAATACTACACTGTTACTATTCAGCTTTAGTTTCAGGTCTACTATTCAACTTTCAGCCAGTCAAAAAAAACCCCCCAAACTATTAATATTGCATTATAAAATTTTGAAAACATTTAATGATATTTTAATTCCCACAATTAAAATAAAGTTTAAAAAGGCCAACTATTCTAGTGGTTACTTATTACTATCTCATTTTGTCTCTTAACATAATTAGCTAGAATGAAGCAGCTCAACGGAAGGAGTGGGCAGTTGTTCCTGAAATACTTTAGCGATTAACAAAGGGAAGAGTAAATTATTGATTGCATTAAGAACTCCGATTTATCAAAATGTGACGATATTCTTTTACTTCTCTGCCTTAGCTACCAAAGACTCAAAGTTACTGAAAAAGATGTTACAGTCCAAAGTGAGAAAAAGACCAGCACAAATTCTGACGGTGGTAAAAACAACCAACACGGTCATTAAATTTTCAAAAAGAAGAAGTTAAAACTTCCTAGGGTTTAAAACACACACTCAAAATGGAATCAATGAAATAAATAGGTGAGGTGAGATGGATAAAAGGTACGTTTATGGGCCTTTCAGATCGCTGTAAACCTTTATCCTAAGTGTGAGGAAGAACAATAAAGCAAAACCACAGAAGGTGGAGAGAGAACCGGGGCTCTGTACCCGGGCGGCTCGGTTCTGGACGAGGAAAGCCCGGGGACGGGGCCAAGGCGGGGCCCCTCCCGGACCGTCGGACCTACAGTTCGCTGCACTGAACCCGGAGCCGCCGGCCCGTACTCGTGGCGGCCCAAGAAGGCGTTGGAAAATGGAAGCTTCCTGAACTAGTTATCAGCCACAACCACTGAACAGGGGGTATTTCCCCACCTCACGGCTGTCCCCAAGACCCTTCCCGAGCGGGCGTCCAGGTGAACGAGGCGCCGAGACGCAGGTAGCCGGCTCCTCAGCCCGGAGTGGCTGCCTCCGGGGCCTCGGGAACAAAGCGCCGCGGCCCGGCGGGCGGCGCTGACAGCGTCCCCGGAGGCCGCGAGGAGCGACGCCCCGCGCCCGGCCCGTCTTATCCCCCGCAGGCCGCCCAGGCCTCGCGGGCCCCGTCTCCTCCCGCCGTGCCCCCCCAGCCGCGGCCTCCAGACCCAGAGCAGCGCCCCCGCCCGCCCCCCGCCGCTCACCCTGCGCAGCGAGCTCGCCGGGCCCCAGTTCCCCGCGGATTGGCCGAGCGGGCGCGCCGCTGGCTGTGGAGAGAGGCAGGCCGCGCCTCCACGCCGTCCTCCGTGCGACGCCCGCAAACCTCCTCCGCACCGACAGAGGCAGAGACCTGCCTGTCGCCGCCTCGCCCCTGCACCCCGCTTCCCTCCGCCCCTCCGGCTCCCGCCTGGGCCGCCGCCAGCTCCCGCCAGGCGGCGTCTCTCACTCCCCCCCGCGCTCCTGTCAGCGCGCGGCCCGGCTCCGCCCCCCGGCTAGGCCCCGCCCCCGCCAGCGGGCCCAGCGGGCCTGGGGTCCCACCCCGCTAGGGCTCCGCCCACCGGAGGCCACACCCCCGGCCGGGCACTCCCGTCTTTCCCACGCGCTCTGTCCTTTCTCCCTCTTCCCTGTCAGCATCTCCGGCAGCTTCTTGTTCCCACAGACCCTGCTGTCCGGCTCTTGCCCCAGGCTCGACTTGCCCTGGTTCCGGAGCTGGGACGTGACGTGCACGAGCTCCTCGAGTCCTCACGGCCATCCTGGGAGGGAGCTGGTCTCCGCCTGGTTATGGGGATGCCCAACTGATAGAGGTAACTCGCCGGTACCCAGTGCGACTGACACCTGAGCTCAAAGTTGATGTCAGAGGGAGGATTTATAAAAAACGCAGGCGTCTGGGGTCTGCCCTCACCTACTGAATAAGGGTCTCCGAGAGTAGTGCCTTCAGCCTTCAGTGCACTGGATGCTGCACCCTTGGAGGGCCCCTGACCCTGTGCTCAGCCCTAAAGAGGGCAAGGGGGCCCGTGGTGCTGGTCCAGAGGGTGGTTGGCCAAGGAAGAGTGAAACCGTTTGCTGTCGTTCCGGGGCTCCAAAGGGCTCCGGTAAACAATCCTTTATGTCTCTTCGCAGAAGGCATTCAGCAAAAAGGCAAAGTGATAAATAAGTGTTTTACTAGACTAGGACGCTTGTAAGGCTTACAAAAGAGTGGGAAAAGGGGTGTCACATCCCTAGGCCATAGCTTTATAATCGAAGTGGGGAGAGGGAGAACTTCTTTGTCTTTCTTGAGTAGACATCATGCTTCCATCATCAGTTCCTCCTTCAGGTTGGGCAGGGGAGTTTTGTCAAGCTAGGTCCACAAATTACTGTTTTTTATGTGTGCAGAGAGCATGTCCGAGCGGTCATTAACTTTCTGAGCTCATTGGGCAGGATGTGGGGCTCATTCCACCAGTGTTTTATTGCTTGGGGGTCATGTCCCATGCTTTTGTTGCATGGTTTTGTTGCTAAGCAGGACTGCTTGGTTTTGTGGTTAAGCAAACCTGCTTTCTTGAGTAACCATTAAATTACAGGGGTCTCCCTTATTTTTCTATTTACAATCCCCTAGTAGGATAGACTACACCAAAGCTGGATCACAACAAACTGTGGAAAATTCTTCAACAGATGGGAAAACCAGACCACCTTACTTGCCTCCTGAGAAATCTGTATGTGGGTCAAGAAGCAACAGTTAGAACTGGACATGGAACGACAGACTGGCTCCAAATTGGGAAAGGAGTACATCAAGGCTGTATATTGTCACCCTGCTTATTTAACTTACATGCAGAGTACATCATGCGAAAAGCAGGGCTGGACGAAGCACAAGCTGGAATCAAGACTGCTGGGAGAAATATCAATAACCTCAGATATGCAGATGACATCACCCTTATGGCAGAAAGTGAAGAACAACTAAAGAGCCTCTTGATGGAAGTGAAAGAGGAGAGTGAAAACATTGGCTTAAAACACAACATTTAGAAAACCAAGATCATGGCATCTGGTTCCATCACTTCACGGCTAATAGATAGGGAAACAATGGAAATAGTGACAGACTTTATTTTCTTGGGCTCCAAAATCACTTCAGATGGTGACTGCGGCCATGAAATTAAAAGACACTTGCTCCTGGGAAGAAAAGTTATGACTCACTTAGCATATTAAAAAGCAGAGACATTACTTTGCCAACATAGGTCCATCTAGTCAAGGCTATGGTTTTTGCAGTAGTCATGTACGGATGAGAGTTGGACTATAAAGCAAGTTAAGTGCTGAAGAATTGATGCTTTTGAACTGTGGTGTTGGAGAAGACTCTTGAGAGTCCCTTGGACTGCAAGGAGATCCAACCAGTTCATCCTAAAGGAAATCAGTCCTGAATATTCATTGGAAGGACTGATGCTGAAGCTGAAACTCCAATACTCTGGCCCCCTGATTCGAAGAACTGACTCATTGGAAAAGACCCTGATGCTGGGAAAGATTGAAGGTGGGAGAAGGGGATGACAGAGAATGAGATGGTTGGATGGCATCACCGACTCAATGAACATGAGTTTGAGTAAGCTCCAGGAGTTGGTGATGGACAGGGAGGCCTGGTGTGCTGCAGTCCATGGGCTTGCAAAGAGGCAGACATGACTGAGCAACTGAATTGAGTGGGATTAACTGGGCTTCCCTGGTGCTCAGATGGTAAAGAATGTGCCTGCTATGCAGGAGATCTGAGTTCAATCCTTGGGTTGGGAAGATCCCCTGGAGGAGGGCATGGCAACCCACTCCAGTATTCTTGCCTGGAGAATCCCCATGGACAGAGGAGCCTGGCAGGGTACAGTCCACGGGGTCACAAAGAGTCAGCCATGACTGAGCAACTAAGCACAGTAGGATTACCTATTTAACCACCTACTCCGTCCCTATCAGACTAGCTAATGGGGTGGATTACATTATTGATATTAGTCCATTTTTATACAGTAAGTATACTTTTCAAAAACCATCCCTGAAAATTATCTGAAAGCAATAATTAAGTGTACACAAATTTAAGGATCTTATTCTTGGAATTACTTACTGGTTAAATGATTATGATACTCCAGTGCAAAGTGCTAACCAGCTATGAAAAATAGTATTATAGATCAGAGGTTTACAAACTTCGTATTCTCAGGACCCTTTTACACTCTTGAAGATTATTGAGTGCTCCAAAGATATTTTGCTTATGTGTGCTACAGCTATCAAAACTTTTGAAATTAAAACTAAGAAATTTGAGAAATATTCATTATTTCACATATTATGTACTCTCTAAAAAATAAGTGAGAGGAGGATGAAAAGGCAAATAAGGTATTAGAATTAAAGTAAGGATGGTTATGAGCTTCAGGAACTACCTGTCTTGGGACTCCAAGTCTTGGAACTCCAGCTTACACTTGGAGAACTAACATTGCAGATGAATATCATTGGCCCAGAAAGATATTCACGACATGTCAACATTTTACAGCAGTGCATGTACTTAAAATGACTAGTATTTAAGACTGCATACAATTATTTTAAAAGGCCTGGAAAGAAAACTGTGGTGTAAGAAGTGGTTGTCTCTTGGTGAGATTATGAGCAATTTGTGTTGTTTTTTTTCTTTGTGCTTGTCTGCATTTTCTCATGTCTTTGCTTGCATTACTTGGATAATAAGAAAAAGACAGTTATTTTAATTTGAAGACCCTCTTTGATATGCCCTAGAAG